GTTTCCTAGTTTTTCTTTATAGGACAGTGTGTAAGTAGAAAAGTATTAACTACTTACATAAAATATATGTATATACATATATATAAACTATGTGTTAAAGAGCTGCATACTGATTTTCATATAATGTTTTGTGATAAAAATGTAATGCCACATGGGCCTCCCTGCATTTGAAGAGCAGGTTTTCATTTATATGTATTTTTGGGATAAAAATAAAGTTTGTAAATATAGCCCCATTTCAAAAGGTGATACTGTACTTTCCTAGCATAGACAACTTTGTATCAGTATTTTTGAGGTAAGATAAGTAGTTATTTAGGGTCCTGGGGAGGAACCAGGAAATAGTGAAAAGGAGACACATACCTGCCCCAGAATCCAAGACCTCACATCTCAGCTAGTGGGCATTGTCACGACCCGGTAGCAGTACTGTGAACTGGCCATGGAGGGTTTTTCCTTTCAAGAATATCCCAAACCCTTTATGGCCAGTTTACTTCACTGTGTGAGAGAGGCAGCTGCATATAACTCAACACAGTGAAGTGTCCTTACAATTCAACTGCCAAGTGATAGTGGGGAGGAAGGGACCTGATGCTGCTAACACTTCCCCGTTACAATGCTAACCTAGAATGCTGCGAAATCAGATTGTCTTTCTCTGAATTGGTTTTGCATTATGTCTATATTCCCACCTGTTCTCAGCCAAAAGTTGGCTCATGCATGAGGGCAGCTCACTGATAATTCATTCAAAAGAAATGGAAAGATGCCCTCTGAGAAGCGAACACTCAATAGAATCAGATGAAGGGAAACTGCACCCGTAAGTGGAGGAGCAATTTGAGCTTTTTTGGTACCAGGGATCGAACTCAGGACCTGGCAGGTGTTTATGCTACTGAGATATCTCCCTGGGCCCAGTTCGCATTTTTCAATGTGTTCTGTGTTGGCCACTTAGCTGCCATTTTCCTCAATTTTACAAGTGCCATAGGTCACATGTCTGTCTAAAAAGTAGGTTTGATAAATTTTTTTTTTTCATCCAGATGTAAGATCGTCTCTGGGATTGGGCATTCATCTGGAATCTCACAAATCTCACTGTAGGGTCTCTGTTCGCTGTGTGCTGCTTACTACTACTTCCTGGTAGTTTTGGGCTTTGCATCAGGCACCTTCCTGCTGGACACTGGTTGATGACTATGTTTTCCAATAAGTGGTCCCAGTTACATAATGAATATTTGCTTTAGTGGAGCAGTAGCTTCCTGGATGAACAGATTCTTAATGACAAGCATCTGGGAAGGTGCCTTTTTTATCTCTAAAACTTGGAGACACTCATGTTCATCTTGGGTAGATGCATCTTATCTTTTCTGTCCCCTCGCTGCCTTCCCTGCAAATCATTGCTGCCCAAGACAAGCTGTGTTGCAGGACTGCTCTTTGCCTCTGAGCCCTTCCCCTACATCCTCTCTGGTGGTCCATGGTTCTGCAGAGGTAGGGAGCACAATCTTCTCTCCATTGTTCTTTCTAGTCACATTCAAATCCCTTCTTTCTAACATTGATGAGTCCCTCATCCTATTATTGATCATTACTGGTGACAGTAATTTCAAGTATTTTTATTGTATCCTGGTGATGAAGCAGAAGGAAGTCCTTAAGATAATGGAAGATTTTTTTTTTTTTTTGTGGAACTGGGGATTAAACTCAGGCCCTTGCGCTTGCCAGGCAAGCGCTTATTCTACTGAGCTATCTCCCTGGCCCCTAAATACATATCTCAAGTGGTTATCGTTTGATATGGTAGATTTTTTTTTTTTTTAAATATCTTTCATGTTACAGAAATTGGCTGTGAGTCTGAGGTCCTGAGGTGATTAATTGGAACCCAAATGTGACACTGTATCAGCAATGCCTACTGAATGACATTGTGGGTATGTGAGTTTATATCAAGTAGAAAGGCTTCTTGATTTAAATTAAAATTTTGGAATGTAAAGCCAAAACCTTTTATTTTTTTCTTTTTGGTAGTTTCCAGTGTATTTGTCAAATGGGAAATAGATAGTTGCTAAAAGTCTGAATAGCAAAACTCCCAAATAATTCATTACCATCCTAAAGTGAAGGAATCCAGTCAGTTGCCTCTGTCTGCTAGACTAGCAGTTGGTGTGTAGCTGTTGAGTCAAACAGGGAGCAACACTGGGAATGTGGGGTACACCTTGTGAAAGACATGTTTTTGTTTTTTTTTTTTTGGTGGAACTGGGGATTGAACTCAGGCCCTTGCGCTTGCCAGGGAAACGCTTATTCCACTGAGCCATCTCCCTGGCCCCAGAAAGAGATGATGTTTAAGAATATATTTTTGGAGGGGTGATACTGGGGATTGGAACTAGGGCCTTTATACTGAGGGATATTGCCAGCCCTTTTTTAAATTTTATGTTTTGAGATAGGGTCTTACTAACTTACCCAGGTGACATTCAGTAATTCTCCAGCTTTAGCATCCCAGAATGCTATGATTACAGGCTTCTTCTGCCATCATGCCTTGTTAAAAATAAGGCTTGTTTTTTGTTTTTGTTTTTGTTTTTTGGCTTGGCATGTTAGCACATGCCTATTAATGTCAGCATTCAAGAATCTGAGTCAGGAAGAATATATATGTAATAAGTTCAGAATCTGAACTACATAGTGAGACTCTCAAAGAAGAAAGTTTGTTTTTGTTTTTCTTTATTTTTTTTTTTTTAAGATTTATTTATTTATTTAGTGTGTGTGTGGCCAGCTCAGCCCACCAGGGGGCAGGGCTGGCTGGCATGTGGTGCTGGGGGATTGAACCACGGTCTCTGTGTTTTGCTTAGCTTAAGCTTGTTCTAAGTAGGTGCCTTAGACCACTGAGCCATCTTACCAGCCCCTTGTTTTTCTTTAAATCAGTACTATTTATCAGCATTGTAGAGCTGGGGATAACGTTCAGCAGCACAGTGCTTGCCAAGGTCCTGAGATTGATTCCCAGTACAAAAGAAGAAAGAAGGCATTGTGCCCAACTCAACAGTCCAGGAAGCCGTGCACAGAGTCCATAAATTGTTTACCTAAACTCCCATACTGGTAGCACTGGAAGGAAGGAAACCACTCAGGCCTGATCCAAATAATCTTCTAGACAGTCCTTTCCACCTGGAGTGCTGAGTAGAGCATAGAGGAAAAGGCCAGTTGATTCATTACATAGGTGATTGAAGGAAATCACACTGGGCAGGACTCCTGGGGCTCGAGAGTGGCTCAGGCAGCTCTTCCCTCCACAAAGTATCAGAGCTAGTTGAAAACTGTCATGTTGATTGATAAAAGAGACAGATGGCAAGTAATTTAAGTGTCATGAATTGAGAACAGTAAAACTGGCCACTACGAAGCAGCACTTTCTGTGAACCAGGTAAGGTCTAAGCGTTTCGTATGTGGACTGACTTAGATGAACTCATTTCCTCCTCATGGCTCAAGGAGGCAACCTTCAATAACATTCCATTTTGCAAGTGAGAAACTGAGGCACAGAGAGATCAAGGTTACACAGTGGGAGGTAAGACTGCAGTTCAAAAAGTCACATGAAATGAGGGGCTTGCTAAGTCCCCCAGGATGGTCTCCAACTCCTGGGTTCAAATGATGCTTCCCCCTCTGCCTCCTGAGTAGCTGATGACCAGGTGCCACATTGGCTATGTGATAGATTGCCTCTTGACTGGAGAGGTAGAGAGAGTGCTAACTGGGAGAAGCGCTGGAGATTTGAAAATGCAGAGAAATAGGGCCTTTCGTGGTTGCTTTGGCTTTTTGAGAGTCTCACATGTAATTCAGGCTGGCCTGGAATTCACATCAATCTTCCTGTCTCTGGGGCTGGTGAGATGGCTCAGTGGTCTAAAGCACCTACTTAGAACAAGCTTAGCAAAGCACAAGGACCGCGGTTCAATCCCCCAGCACCACGCCAGCCAGCCCCACCCCCTGGTGGGCTGAGCTGGCCACACACACACACACACACACACACACACACATAAATAAATAAATAAATAAAAATTTAATCCTCCTGTCTCCTGCCCCCAGCCTCTGGAGTGCTGGGATTATAGGCATGTGCCACTACACCTGGTTTATTTTTTTTTAATTTTTTTCCATAATTTTATTGAGAAACAAATAGCAATGAGACAGTTTCAAACCAAATTGGTAGGAGAGTTTCTTTTTTTTTGAGAGTTTCAATAATTAACACATTGCATACATTTTTCCTAGTGGTTAACTGCTGTACAAGATGCGGACTTGATATCCTATT